AGAGCTAAATCGAAGTTGAAAGTCTCATCCGTTTTCGTTCGAGAAGACCTACCAAGAACCCGACAGACAGTCTTCGATACAGCTCAGCAACACTTTGGTGAGCAAGATGTTTGGACGCAGGACAGCAAAGTTATTATTCGGTTACCGGATGGCAGTTGTCTAGACGTAACGACCATGAAGGAGCTGGACCCTCTGATGGAGAGATATACAAGAGCGAAACTTGATAGTGCCTCTCACAACAAAAGTGGTAAAGAACTCCTCACGTTAATAAATGATAGCTTCTTGATTTGACTACTTATTGTAAGTAGTTCTATGCCATCTGTCAATATGGGCCGGGCTGTTTTATGTTTATTAATGTCACTTATTTTTTAATTTACTTAGTCTGAACTGCACAGTAATTGTTACCCACATTTCATAAGATAACCATAATACCGCATTTCATAAGATGTACAGGTGGGCCTGTTGGTATATTGGATATAGTTAAACCGCCGTAAGCTTGGCCCTCCTGATGGTTTAGGGGACGCGGGGCGGGGATGCATTCAACCAATTAGCTAGTGCGTCGCTGTCCGCCGGCAGTGACTGACGTGCCATTTTTCTTAAGACTGCTACACACGGTATTATTTTGCAACATGGATAATCTACCGACTCTGCGTCACAAAAAGATTTAAAAACTTGAAGTTCGGCTTACAGAGGTTCTACTGTTAAAGTTCTAATAAAGAATATTTATTATTTTACTTAATTTTTAAAGTGTATCTGAATATAATTTACATGATAAAGATAAGGTGATTGTATTAAAATTATTTTACAGTATTAAATTTTACAATTAATCATAAAAACTTACAATACACTGACATTATAATACATGGAAATAAATTCGATTTTTATTACATCGCGTGTAGATTAAATCTCAAACAAATAAATCTGAAGATATCGAGTTAGTACATCGTGTCATGTATAGCCGAGCGCATCACCCGCCCCGCGTCCCGCAAACCATCAGGAGGGCCAAGCTTACGGCGGTTTAACTATACTGTTAAGCCAGAGGTCGTAGGTTCGAGTCCCATCCAGGACAAATAGTTCACATACATCACACGATGATTGCGTTTATTTTTTCTGTGTCTGGTTGTAATTTATCTATAATATGTATATATTTAGAAATATATAAGTATGTTTATCAGCAGTCTGGTTATCATAGTACAAGCTCTGCCTAGTTTGAGGTCAGCATTAAATATGCCGTATCTTAAATCTCCGAACTTCAAATAATCTTTGCCTGGTATGTCCCAGTCACTTTTCTGCTTGTGTAAATTTTTTCACCACTCAGTTGGTCCTCCTCAGCTATTCTGATTTCCTGTGGTAGAGACCTCAGGAAATCAGATTGGCACCAATTACCTGTTTTAAAGCTAAATTTCGTGGTCGCCTTTCCTCCTCTAAGTCATTACAATAGTAAAAATATGTCCTATATACATTATACTCTATTCTGTTGTCACAACAATCATTTGTATACATTTTAATGCACCTACTCATTTGCACATGCACCATTCTCACTCATCTCTGCATCATCACAAGGTAAATTTGCAGAAAATGCTTTTAGCATCAAACCGCATCTATACACCTTTTGCATAAAGTGAAAAATATACAAATAAATTTACGTGTTTTATAATAGTTATCGAAGAAATTGACCTAATGTTAAAAGAAGCTAACAGATTATTTCAAAGAAACCCTTTACATTTTAAGATCTACTTGGTGTAATCCTTCCCCCCTACTGTAACTGCTCTACACTAGGATCAACCTACGTACACACTGAGACACTCGGGGAATCCCAGGACAAGCTAAACTGTCTTGGAAAGCAACGATATTAGTTAAAAGTAAATTTGAGGAGCTGGAAATACAATAAATCCACTTACGTCTTTAGCAAAGCCGAAGACAAAAAAGGACCACCACGGAAACAAAATCATTATGGGTCCTATGTGAGCTATATTTAATTCCCATAATATGAATGGCAGAATCGCTCCAGCGCACGGAAATTCCTCCTAGATTTTACAAGATCCTCATAGTATACCGCACCAGATGTCACTTTTAAGAAATCCAGCATTATATTACGTTCATTGTATCAAAGACTACATTTCTAGAGAATATGATGAGCAGACTGCTCACAGATAGAACCTGGTATTGAGCATTGACACAATGGTGACAACTAATTTAAATGAATACAGTTTGCTCTTAAGTTACCATGACCCGGAAGAAATTGAGCGACACAGTGATCCACGTCGAGCCTGGAAGAGTCAAGAAAGAACTGGTAAAGGTGGCGCCCCTTACATGATTCATCTCGGCGTTCTTACCATCCATCTATGAAGTCGTCGTAGACATCAGACTGCTGCTGAAGCAATCTTGTGATTTTATCGCGATCTCGTACACAGATCAACTAGTCTGAAGAAAATGATAACTCCTAAATTTAGATAAATAATGTCCTGCTTTAATTAAATATATGGGAACTACTGCGTAAATAAATACATAATTAGGTATTCGATTCGTGAAACGACTCGCCGCCCGCAACACCGCCTCGGGCCCTGATGTAATTCCGGGCCAAGCATGGGGTGGGCGCTTTGGCGGTCCTAGGGAATAGGCTGAGGTGGCTGTTTACCAACTGCTTCCGAAATAGCGTATTCCCTTCCGGCTGGAAGGCCAAACTGGTACTGGTATCCAAAAACCAGGCAGGGCTGCAAATTCTCCCTCTGCGTTCCGACTGATATGCATGCTGGACGAGGCGGCGAATCTCTTTGAAAGAGTTATCGCCGCCCGTATCAACCAACTCCTGTCGCGAGTGGGCCCCTGCTTATCAGACACCTACTTTGGCTGACGCGAGTGTCTATGACAAGACTCCTGGCTCCTGTTTCCCAAAGGAGCCGCAGGTCTGAAGGGATTTTCCACCCAGTCACTAAAAAAATATCCTAACTTTTGCAGTATGATAATATGGATAATTATTTTACATATATACGAGTACATACAATATACGGCAATTGACGCGATCCCATAACAGGTATCACGTCAATCTGATTGACTCAATCAGTGAGTAATCAGAACCCGTGCAAACTGCAACAGTCACATGATGGCCGTGACGTTAATTAACGTGTATTTTACTCATCACTGTTCCGTGTAATGACGAATTGGGAATACGTAGTGTCTCCACCTTAGAGCCGACTAAGGGAGCAAACTATGCAGAACAACAACACTGCAAAAAGAAGAAATTCTTAAAACAAACCCTATTCCAGCCCGTCTGGCTAGCGTAGTATAGTTAGTTAGTATATCCAGCAATAGATTACTAAATGTGATGTAAATCCCGTTCATATTGATTTCATACTACCCACTTGTAAGTAATAATAATATGGTAAACTCCTCAAAAAATTCTGTCACACAGAAATTTTTTTTTTTTTTACTTGTTAATGAGCATAATAATAAATATTATTATTAATAATAGTAAAAAGAATAGGTGGATACTTTAAAACCTATCAATCTATTAATAGCCATGTGTGCGTCATAAAATATCAAAGTGATGGTGATAGACGAGTACAGATAAATTGGTGAAAAATTATCTAAAATATCCAGTTGTTGGTTTGTAACATCTTTACTACTTCCTTCATACATACTTGCGGATAAATAAAAAAAATGTTGGTAATGTCATAATAATAGCTTTTTACTTTCGGCCAATTCTCGAAATGTAATGACTGATTTCCATCGACCTTACATTGTACTGCCAGATGACTCCGGTCATAAGACCTGATGTGCATTGTGGTTTTTGCCCCCGGCATACAAAATAGTTATGTTAGTGTAATCGGATAACATACATAAAAAACTCCATTTTTATCTTGGATACAAATACACACCTAATACCTACACCATAACTTTAAGGAGTAAATTAAAGCGAAAAATTGATAAGAACAACGTTTGAAGCGGTTTGTATATCGTGTCAAAAATCCGTGCAGATTTTTTTAAGTTTTTGAAACGTACACAAATCAACTTCATATATTTATGTGACTTACTTTGACTTGATATCCCAAGCCCTTTGCCCCATCACGGGGACAGAGGGCCTCCACAGTAGTCCTCCATCGCGTTCGGTCCTGAGATAATGTATATTAGACCCATCTTGTTTAATCTATAAATATTTATAATCTGATAGTCTTGTACATTAAAGGTGTAACGAGATAAGCCAATTATAATTAATCTAAAATAAACATTTACGATATACCGCCTTCCTCGTTCAAGGATTCAGCACAAGAGGAAAACGTCAAACACCTCACTCTAGTGTCCGCCTGATTACGTGTGGTATGCCTACGATTGTTAAAAATTATATAAAAGTTGATAATATAATATAGATATACTAAACAGAAACTCGGAACATCTATGTCTTATAACGTTTTTTATCAAATCTCAATCACATGTTGAAAAATGTTACTTGATCTTTAGTCTCGAGAGTGCGTCTCAAGGTTATCTGCTACAAAATGCTAATTAAACCTAACCTTGAACGGTGTATAGGTGTATTCAGATGTATTTATATATTTCAGTTTTGACCAATGTGATGTAACTGGTTATTATGAATTTATACGACTGTGTTACGGATGCGGATGCCAGGTCGTTGTTTGCAAATTGTTTGTTTGTGTATTGAATACAGAGCAACTCGTTATTAAGTGTTTTTCCACGATTGTATTGTTGTTAAATTTCTTTTACGCTGAAGCTGTTTTGTGAGAACAAGAAAGCATATAATGTGACGTTTTAGAACTTATAAGGTTTTTTTTTTAAATATAAACATTTAATATCCCTCCGTAGAGACAAATTAATTCTTATTTGTTGTGGGATCCGCCACTCTTCGACTTCAAAATCTAACTTAATTAAACATTGACATGGTAATATAATGTCATTCCTTATTTTTACGTAGACAGTCCTTAATTTAATGGATTCACCAGCGTAAGTTTAGTCTTACATTTTTTCATGTATCCTTTTTTATTCAGAAAATGAAGCCCAAGAAAAACAAGAAGAGAAAGTACTGGAGATCATGGAGGCTCTGAGTGCCCGCTCAAACGCAGCTCGCGCGGGCGCATTCGTGGCCTTGCGGGCCGCGCTACAACGTCGCGCTTTCGACACCTTGCTCTGCAGTCACCGCGCCACGCTCGCCGACCACATTTCACGAGCGTTGAGGAGGGGGAAAGATGGAGAGAGAAAGGCTGCTGCAGCTGTAGCGCCGTTGGTGGCATTGCAGGTAATACTCAGTGGAACCTCACATTATTTGTGCCGTATCACGTAGAAGAGAACAGAACGTTTTTAACGTCTACTTCGTATTATCATGCTAACTATAACTATATATAACAGATTTTCAAGGCAAGAGAAGGCGTATTAAAAAAAACTTCGATTAAACATGTCTATTGAAGAAAGCTTTCTAAGGGGATTGTTTAATCACCAACAGCCTTTAATAGTCCACTGCTGGACATAGGCCTCTGCTTAGAAAGGAGGTTTTGGTCTACGATACCACGCTGCCTGGACGGGAAGTTTTCCTTAAACAAGCATCGCATTTAAAGTATTAAATGTAATTCTATCAATAGATTGGAGAGGAAGGCACAGAAGAATTCGTTGCCGAAGTTCGTCCTGCGCTCACTGCAACTGCTGCGGACAAAACTGCTTCACTTGAAACACGCACTGAGGTAACATTACAACTTCGTATTTGAACATTCCTATAAAATATATTATTACACAGGGTTCAAAGTAGACAGAGCTCGTACTGTGGGTTTCACTATAGGGGTAAATAGGTATATCAGTTATATTTAGAATGACTAGGAAAAAAAATACTACGGTTGTTCATAGACACTGCAACTGTATTTAGAAAATAAAAAATAATCTTTGTATGTGAATATTGCAGTGCTGCTCATCACTGGCTGTGCTTTGCTACTTAATGGAGGATGACGTCACCGAGATCTTGGAAGTTATGCGGGTTTACGAAACCATCTTCAGCGGCAGCTATCTCAAGGTGAGCGACTCCTGTCCTTCTTTTTTTTAAAAAAAGTACGGTGTGATGTATAATTTTGGAGTTTACTTCTTTAAAATCGATTTTCATAAAAGGCGCCCGGTATGTTAATAATATAAAGAATAAAATTTAGTGATCGAATGACCTCGTTACATTTTTTGTATCGTGCGTACCTTTCACATGTATGTGTATAATTCGTATACTCGTGTGCAGCCGAATCGTTCTTAACGAGTAAACTCCAGTCGTACGTCGAAGCCGACACACACACTTTTTCTTATTTGAAATAAACGAGAGATAAGATAAAGCGAGAGTCGGCGCGGTACGTTCAGGGCGACGGCAGCGTGAAGACGTCGGGGTCTGCGGTGGAGGAGGGCGCGTGGCACGCGGCGGCGCTGGAGGCGTGGGCGCTGCTGCTGTCGCTGCTGGCGCCGGAGCACGCGCGCCAGCTGCTGCGCTCGACGCCGCCCGGCGTGGCGCGCCTGGCGCACCTGCTGGAGGCGCCCGCGCTCGACGTGCGCGTGGCGGCCGGGCCCGCGCTGGCGCTGGCGCACGAGTGCGCCACGGCCGACGACGCCGACGCCGCGCCCGACCTGGCGCCGCACATCGACGCGCTGCTGCCGCTGCTGGCCGAGCTGGCGCGCGACTCGCACAAGTACCGCGCCAAGCGCGACCGCAAGCTGCAGCGCGCTACCTTCCGCGACGTGCTCAAGTATTTCGAGGTCGGTCTCTTTTTCTGCTGCACTATTGATTCTCGGTTAACGTTGTACTAAATATTTATATTCGTTAGTTAAGTTTTATTCATGAGAGATTTAAGCTTTGGTGTAAATGAACCGATTCGTCTGAACCTTTACGAAAATTGATGTTAGTAATTTTTGGAGTTCACTCCTTAAAAATCAATTTTCATATAAGGCGTTCGGTGTAAAAATATGAAGAGTAAAATTTAGCGTTCGAATGACTTCGTTAAGTTTCAATGTGTAACTCGTCGTGCGCATCTTTCATTTTTTTAGTAAAGCGTATAACTCGTGTGCGTATTTATGATTCTAGAAGTATTCACATTACCTAGTCCGTTATTTCTTAAATATGTAACGTATACGTATTTAGATTTTAATGTGACGATTCGTATTATTACTTTGTTTAGCATGGCAGTAAAAATGATGGCGTATCACATTAATTCTGAATTGTAATATATTTTGATAGATCGGATATTTATTATTAATATTTTTGTAAATATATACAATATAGTGCGATACGGAGGTTCCATTCGAATCATCCCAGTGATGCGACAATGTTATCATTATGTATACGAGTAATCGGTTAACGAGCGGTGCACTGTGCGGTCGCAGGAGGGCACGGTCCCCGCGGCGTCGGTGCGCGTGGGCAGCGAGACGGCGGCGTGGGAGTCGTGGTGCGGCGCGGCCGCGTACGGCGCGCTGGCCGCGGCGCTGGGCGGCGCGCTGCAGCCGCTGGCGCTGCGCTCCGCGCGCCTCCGCGCCGCGCTGGCGCTGGCCGACGCGCCGCCCGCAGACCTGCTGCAGCGCACACACAAGCTCAACAAGCTGCAGCGGGTGCGTACGCCTCGCCTACACACCCCCACCCCACCCCCACTGCCATCCGCCTTGGACTCGTTTCAAATCTCCATAAGATAACATCCAAAGAAGAATACCCAAACCGATAAAAAATTAATATGAAAATCAGTTTCTATAAACACATAAATTAACACTTAAAATATATTGCGACACTAACGTTAGTTTTATTTACCGAATCGTATTTTTAACAGGAATACCATATATTAATTAAAGCAAAACTAATACTGAAGTATACATGCACTAAATAAACTACGACTACACACACAAAATAATAAAATTACTAAAATTATTTTCACGTTTAAAACGTTAACCGTTTCATTTTGAAACAAAGTTTATCTACAATTAACCATCGATGGACTATTTTATATAATAACTCATTTAACTTAAAACACGATTGAGTTTTACTTTTGTAACACTAACTTTAACTACTTTTGTTGAAACTTGCAAAAAACTAGTTTAAATGTAAATAAGTAAAACTACTAACATATACCGACCATTCTCACCCCAGAAATCAACGAGGCATACGCTTAGTTAAAAAACTAATCAATTTTGGAAAACAAAATAGAATGAAACATAATCTTATTATAGAACACATACACACGTAAAAAACACACTTCTTGACTACGACAACAATATATAATTTATACATACATGGCATTACGTTACCTATTAGATAGGGCTAACATTTAATTAACACTACGCGTCGTTAGCTTTAAATACCTTGTTTTTTGATGTCGTAATCGCTCCACACATACCCCTTTAAAATGTAGAAGATACCCAATGGCAGAATACCCCACATTGTGTAATCAGATACCCAATGGCAGAATAATGTGTAATCTAAAATTAAATACATAATGAAAAACGTGATGTTTAATACCTTATTCAAATGATATCAAGTTCAAGAGTATTATTTTAATCTTATCAGAAGCAAAAACTTATCTAAGTAATACCTATATCGTTATAAATATAAAGTTATCTATGAGTTCCCTAAAAATAAATTATAATAAAAATTTTATGTTTAATTACCAATAAGAAATAGTTATCATACACTCATCACCTATGTATACTTTCTAAAATTGCAATAGTAAAGGATAATATATTTTTTTATATTAATACAATTTAATACCCCATTAAATGCTGTTTTTTACACTTTTACTACATACATATTATAATGCTCTCGATCTCAATTTAAATTAATGACAAATACACATAACATTGTCATAAGGTAAAATTATCCTCCATATACATTAAACTTTTTTCAAATTACTGGCACTTTCAGATATATATGTAACAAAAAACCTCTAAATTAGTGTTATCACTAATCTAGAGGTTTTTTGTTACATATATTATTATTGTGAAAGTGTATTATTATAGTAAAATAGTAATATAAGTTTATGTTTGTGTTGCAGCATCTCCAAAACAACGCAGCGTGCAAAGCCCGCACGCTCGCCCGCAACAAGAACCGCGACAAGCGCTCGGCCGCGCTCGCCATGTGATCGCTCCTCGGGACGACCGCTCCATGTTCGATGTACTACAGGTTAACGCTAGCGCTCGGGCACTACTACCCTCCCGACACACGCGAACACTGCGAGATACCGGTTGCGAAGATCTTTTCATTGCTATGTAGTTCCGTATGATTGTATAAAAAAAACAACTCTCGCACTAGGAATATACAGTACACAGTAAGAAGCGGCGGAGTCGGAGATAACTGATTCTAACAGTTTAAAGACTTAAAAAAAAATCTATGATGATTTGATGAAAGTTTAAAAACATCAGATGATCAACATCATCATTATCACTATTACCACATTTGTGTTGACAAAGGAAGATTTTCGCAACTGATTCCCTAAATTCGATGAAGCCCTCGGTTCAGTGTTCGTTACGGTCTCGTGAGGTTAGTGTTAGGTTTACGTAGGCTAGTTGTTAAAACCAAAGAAATTCTTATCATTTCGAATGAAATTGAAAGTTGGTACGGTTTAATTTAGGCGTATCGTTCGACACTATCGATCTACAAATTTTAATTGTCGATTCGGTCATTCAATGCGAACTTAATGTTATTACAAGCGACGAGCTGTTCCGATTGTCATATCATTTGGTATTATATAAACATTTATTCTTACTCCATGTCTTGGTGATTCGGGTCCTCGGCGATCCATTCCGAATGTACTACGTTATTGCCGGTGCTCACCGAGTTAACGTTTTTAGTGAAATATTTTACTATAATTTTATGCTATATTATTGATAATGTTTTTTTTTGTATTAAAATTGACAGTTTTGTGTGTTAATGGACATTATTGTTAGATTTACACCGTCACTACAACATTAGTTTTACTTTGTCGATTACGTATTGTAAATCAAGTTGTGGAGTAAGGGCGTTTTATTTTAACGATTGATAAATTTAATATTTTATATGATTTGTACTGCTCACCCCCGCACTTGGCGTGCGTTGGTGAAGGGGTGTACTCAGTGACAGTGCAAATCGATAAGTTTATATATAAAGCGTCTCTGTAAATATTATTTTAATTTGCGTTGACCGCTGCGGTCGCTATGACTTGTACAATATTAGGCTATACGGGTGTTGAAATAATATTTATTATGAGAACAAACACTGTGTTTCAATACTATCGCCTGTAAAAACCCTTTCCCCTTCCTTAAAAAAATGAGTGCATATATTTCTACCAGCTAAACGTCTCTTCATCTTTCTTTTAAATCTATTGGGAATACGAGATTTGACCACATTATATGGACTCGTCTGAAAATGCTTTAGGCCCGCTAGAGCTAACAAACTCAAATCCGAAAAGGTAGTCGACTATTTATTAAAATTGAAATGTTAACAATGATGGAAACAATATTTTAATACCATTTTGGTGTTGTCGGTTATAGTGGACGGTTGTACATAAGTCTTGCCGAAAAAGTATTTATAATACATATAATGCAAGGTCCCCCGGTTTGAAACCCGAGCCGAAATTGAGACGAAACGAGATGTGTTGCTGAGCGGAGACGAGACGTGTTAATAACGTCTTCGCTCAGCTTCAGTGAAAACGGTTGAACAGAGCGGCGAAAACTATGAAAGAAAATGTAAAATGATGAAATTTATTGAGGCAGGAACACAAAAACTTGAAGTCAGCTCTGTGCCGCTAACCTGTCCTCTCAAATCCAACTTAACATATCTTTATTTCATTCAAAAAAAAATTTTTAAATCGACTTTTACATTACGACACTTGTCTCCGCTCGTTCTGAAAATAACCTCCCTGCTATGCTGTTCGTCTCCGCTTTTGTGTAAAACGGGCTTCATATAGACTTAAGATCAGCTTAAATATGGACAGTCCTCCACAATTATTAATGGTTACACAAAGATATGATCGCGATTTATGATAAGCGATCCACGTTATGTTAACATCAGAGAGACTAATCTGATAATAGGTCGTTGCCCTTTCATATCAGATAATATTATTGAAGGGATATTCAAAAGTTAACCTGTGTAAGTTTACCTCGTATTAAATTTGTTCGATACTTTTATACATGGTGGTTCAACATTCACACTCGCATCTGTCAGTCTCAAAAGCAAAGAAAATGATACGAGTTTACTAACAAAGACTGCTGGTACTTTACTGGACTTAGTACATCACCATATCGTGGATATCCTTGAGCAGGAGACAGATCTGTTGGTGATCTTTTTGGAACGAAGTTCCTTATCGCGCGTTGTGAAAGGGGGCTAGACGGAAAAAAATCGTACGAAAATTTGTCACGACACTTAATATAAATTGACGTCTAACTGTGGATACCATACATTAAATTTGCTTTAACGTTCGCCAACGTCCATACCATGTTGAATACACCGGTTCTCGTCCGATCACCGAAGCTAAGCAACATCGGGCGTGGTTAGTACTTGGATGGGTGACTGCCTGGGAATACCACGTGATGTTGGCTTTTTGCTCTTTATTTTCGTGTCATCTTGTCAGACATTCAGCGCCATCTATCGAATAGATAGGAAATCATTTCGCAAGGAGATTTTACCAATGTATAAATAGTTTTAATTGTTTTTAATATGTAGGTAATAGCCGCTTTCATAGATGGCGATTAAAATCGATGATGGTAATTAAAATCGTGTCAAATCAGTTTTACTCGATCGTCACAACTTCGTTCCTATCGGGTGTCCCACGACACCACACGGCTTTTTTTTATGGTATAAGGGGGGCGAACGAGCAGACGGGTCACCTGATGGTAAGCAACTACCGCCGCCCATTGACACCTGCAACTCAAGTCACAAGTGCGTTGCTTCCCTTGGAGTCCCTCCCGCTCGAGTCAGCGGGAGGGGGATTTGGGCTCCGGTAACATCATTTACTCAGTGAAAGGCAACGAAAGAATTGCTTCACACCTTTATGCTGAACTGAGTGTAGTTGTATATCCGACGGAAGAAGGAGAAGCTCCACGCAAAGGACCCTCATTACCGAGACCTCTCCAACTTCCTGCTGCATGTGATCTATGGTGCTGTGACAGGAGTCTGAACCCTGACTGCTAAACAATCTGCTTAGGATTGAGAATACTGGCGAGGCTGTTCTTCTCTGCCTGCAACTTTAAACATACGAACACGGTCAACTCCGAGTTTTCGGACGCCAAATAAATTCAAGTGTATTTTTACGCCTATAGGATACATATGGTGGTAATAATGGGTTTAATTAAAGAACACGCTTTAGTGGTTCGTCTAATCAAGTAAGCGGAACTCGAAAGGATCGAGACAGGAAAGTTTGACTTTTACTTTTTTTCCTCCTGCCGTCGTCTTCATCATTAGATTAGCTGCATATCCAATACCAAAGTATAGTATTGTCATCCAATTATATATATATATGTGTCAAAGGAAAATAACAAAAACCGCAAATGTATAAATTTCCTAGGAATTGTATAAACCTTTGTAGGATTCTAAACGAGAGAAACCTAACCGGGTTGGGGGGTACTGAGCGAGCCGACAACTCGCCATGGAGGCGGCTCTGAGACTGAAGAAAGCACCGGACTAGAGTTCGGTAAGTTTATCAATTTGCGAAAAGTGGGCGTAAAATAATACAATTTCTATCGTTTAGAATCCTACGAAGGTTTATAATACATTTGCGGTTCTTGTTATTTTCCGGTGACATATACCTATAGTTTAAATTGGGAGCGACAATCTCTTAAAAATAGGTTTAAATTAACTGCCAAGATTCTTTTACATAATGTGTAAGCAGATACAAATGCAGCTAATAAAAAGGTATTACATTAATTTTTCTGTATAGCCATACCACCCAAGTACGAGACTAAGATGTTTTATTTACTGTTCTTAATTCTCTGTAAAAATGTGATCGCAAAAGACACATTGATATCTCCGGCAAATAAAGTATTTGTTTGTGAACGTCGCTGCAGTGCGTGTGGACACTTTAGCTACAAATAAAACACCAATGTAAACACATGACTAGCTTTATTCCAGACAGAATCATTCCTTTTCGTTACCAACATTACATCGTTTCCAAGTCACAGTTTTAGTACAACAATTACATAATCATGTCTTACGCTAACACAGTCGCTCCCTGGTGGGTTGCACTCCTGCGCACATTGATGACTAGACATATATACGATATATAGTAACACGACAATTATCGATAGGGACTAATAGAAGATAGGCCTGTAGGGAAACATTTGTGTCTATCTGCCTTCTGATAGCATTATGGGAAAGATAATTCTTTACTTGTACATGTTGATGTCGTTTAAAACATTTGACTTTGTGCGTGTGTCGCACTGAAAGTTTTTAGACTAGGCCAGCAAGAAAGCTAATGGTGCTAAATTCTGTTGTGCGGCAACTCTCTAAACTAAACTAAAAATCATTAAAAATTAGTTTAGTCCTGTCAAGTACTACGTTTTCAGAATACGAAACGTTATTTGGCAGGACTAAACTATTTCTTTGTGATTTTTAATTTAGTTTAGAGTTTTCGAACAACAGAATTAAGACCATTTTATTTAAATTTCGAATTAGGAACCTTTATTTAAATTTTGATTTCCAAAATCTGCAGATGTTTAATGATTTTATGTTATTTGCTTTTAGAAATTTAAAAGCAATTTAAAAAGTGTATGCGCAATGATTTATTACTTTAGTTGCAGTCTTACTCAACAACAATGTTACAATAGACTTCGATTAGCATTACGAAGTCCCATCTCTTGCTACTGTTTACAACTGTATTAATGAGTTTAAACGTGGTCGAAACAAACTGATGATCGAGAAGGACGTCCTTCTGCAGCAACTACTGAAGATAACGTGTGCTGTGAGAACTTCATCTCAGGGCCTGTGTTTTAAAAAATTAAGAGAAGAGCAGATCACGTGCCATATTAAAGATACTAGATGTGGAATTTGGGATCGATATTTGTAAAGTAGCAGATCAAGTGAGCCGTCCACCCCTAACGATCAGTACAACATAGACAATCATAGTAATGATATCTGCAGTGTAAAGTACAATAATTAAAGTCCTAAGCATGACCAAAGATAAGAGAACAAAAGCCCAAAAAAAAACCGCTACCATTAATTTCTTTTGGTGTGAAGGTTTTTATCATATTGAAATCATTGAGTATAATGTCTAGCATAATTCAAAATTTCA